AAGTGTTGAGGTTATTCGTTTTTGAGTTCTCAAAGGTTATTTGTACAGATGCTAATATAACTAGGTGATCCGATATATCAATCGGAGGGAGATAGTTAAGTTCTGAAATAAGTTGTTGATCGTTGGTGATGATGAGATCTAAGTTAGATGGTTCATTATTTATTCGAAATCTAGTTGGTTGATTAATATGTTGGTGTAAGTTACTTTCTAAAATAAGTTGCATAAAATTGGTCATAGGATTGTCTAGGTCAGGAATGTGAGTGATTGGCCAAGAAATGTCACGAAAGTTGAAATCGCCAGTAATGACGAGATTTTCATAGCTGGAAATGCGTTCGAGTTGTTGAATGAGTAAATAATTAGCTTCTATACTAACGTCATTTGGTCTGTAGATACATGCCATATTAACAACAAGATTGTGTTTCGATAGCCGTATGAGTAATATTTCAATATCAGGAATAACAATGTTTTCTTTTACGATACAGAAGTTTTCACAAATGTCGTTATTTAAGTAAATACAGATACCACCCCCAACACGATCAAGTCTATCAGCTCTGAATAGTGTATATCCATTAATGTTCACGAGAGAATCAGGTATAGATGAATTTAACCAGGTTTCACATATAAAAATTATGTCGGGTGAGTTATACTGAACAAAACATAAAAAATCATTAAATTTAGCGTTGAGCGAATCTAAGTTGGTGTAGAAAAATGTCCAATTAAAAAATGTGGAAGATGGCGAACTAGTTACGAAAATTTTAAATAATTTTTGGGACACCTTTGATGTATTTTATGGTGAGATCAGTTTCTTCTAGCTGTTTTCTATCCTCAATTTCTGCCTGGAGATCCTTTAAAACTTGTACTTGGTTGGTAGTTTGATCGCTAATAATGGTGAATTTGTTTGTAGAAGGATTTTCTACAAGTTTTATTTTATTTCGCAGAATATTGCGAGCCTCAAATTCATTTTGCACAACAAATTTTATCATACGGGGAAATTTACGATTATCTGTCGGTTTTCCGACACGAAAGAAAACGACTGGATTAGCTGTACAGTTAACAGTATTCAGAAGTTCTGCTATCTTGCTTTTATCGTGATCTTTCTTTACAGTTAAATCCTCAGCTACATTGGGAATTCCTCGCATGAAAACGTTTTTTGCTCAAATCATTCTGTCTACGGCCTCATGTGCTACTTGGTCAGTAAATGGAGCAGAAGATAAGTGGTCAATTACCGATAACTTATTAATAATTTCTGTGAATTTTGATCTAAAATCATCTAGTTCCTTGAGCATTTCGTGTTTAAAAGTTTCGAACAAATTTTTAAAATCTCCAAACTTTTCCAGGATTGCACTGCAACAGTTACATAAATTTTTTAAACATTTAGCCCGCTGTCTAGTAACACGATCGTCAGCTGCTAGTTTAGTATAGGCGATATGAATGAGCTTCTTGCATCCATCGCACTGGAGTTTTGCTGGGTCTCGATCAGCGACAGTTTTATTACAATTAGCGCATGTGACCGCTGGCATGTTGACGATGGGTGATAACTTGAAACTTAATAAGATGGTAGGTATATGAAAAGAAGTGACCTTACTGGTATTCAGCAGAAATATACAGGGTGTTATTGAAATACACGTACATATTAAAATGGGGAATAGTATGTAATGACCAAAAACGATTAGCACCAATTTTAACTTCAAATTCTAAAATTTAAATATTGGGGAAGAGTCCCCTTTTCCGACCTACTAGTTTCCATATTTAAAGAAGTAAAATAAATCGAAATTGAACTTACCCATAGAAATTGCACTGTTGCCGTAGCAAAACCAATTAATTCAAAATAAAGTTTATTACAGTAATTGTTCAAAATGCCGTCCATTATTATTTACACACACTTGCAATCGTCTTTCCAAAGAACTTTGAACATTAGAAATTAGTCTTGGATTTTGTCGTAGTTCCTCGGCTACCGCATTAACTTTATTGGTTAATTGTTCAACACTATTAATAGGTTCATTATAAACCAGTTGTTTCATGTGACCCCACAAAAAGAAATCGCATGGATTTAAGTCCGGAGATCTCGGAGGCCACTTAGTAGGTCCATTTCTGCCTATCCACTTTTGAGGAAATCTAATGTTCAAAAACTGCCTAACTTTAAAATCAAAGTGAGGAGGAGCGCCATCTAGTAGGTACCACATCCGTTGCCTTAATTGTAACGGTATCTCTTCTAGGAGTACTGGCAAAATATCTTCTAAAAAGTGGAGATATCCTGGCCCATTTAATCTGTTCGGGAGAACATAAGGCCCGATTAAATACTGATCTATTATGCCAGCCCAAACATTTATTGAAAATTTTCTTTGATGCCCAGTTTCCCTAATGGCGTGAGGATTTTCATCACTCCAAATATGCGTATTGTGCATATTGAACACGCCATCACGAGTGAATGAAGCCTCGTCAGTATACAATAATATTTTTAGAAAATCAGGAATATCAACACATTTTTGAATCATCCATTCACAAAACTCCACTCTCTTTTCTTCATCACCTGGATATAAGGCCTGGACTTTTTGGATGTGATAAGGATGTAAACCTTGTTCTTTAAGTGTCCGCCACACAACAAATGAGGACACTCCAATTTCAAGACCTAGTCTTCTACAACTTAATTGAGGCCGGTTTTCAACAGCTTCCAATATTTCTTCTTCGGCCGCCAATGTTCTTTGTGTTCTTGTTCTCCCTCGATCTGCATTGACACTCTCAAATTTTCCATGGTCTCTTAGATGCTGAACAGTTGAAATAAACGTACGACAGTCCGGAATTCTCCGATTTGGAAATCGTTCGCGATACAGGATTTGTGCTTGCCGAGAATTTTCTCCAGCTGCCCCATAAACCAGCACTATATCCGTTAGTTCAATATTCGTAAATAGTGGCATCGTAAAAAAATATTTAAAAGTAATCGTAACAACACTTTTTACCAACTTGGAAATGACGCGCTCGTGTTAGCCAGATTCGTAAATCAACTAAAATTTTAATAATCTATAGTTTCAAAAATGTATAGTTTAAAAACAATCATTTATCAAATATTCTAGTTTTTTGATAACGAGGGTAGTAAAAACCAGTCTTCGGAAATAGAAATTAATTCGAAAATCTTGGCAACATGGTTATTTCTTACAAGACTAGTTTTCTTATCATCTGACAAAAACTTGCATATTAATTACTGTTGATGTTTAAAATAGGTAAATAAACCTAATTTATATAGGTCATCCTCAACATATCAGTGAAGTATTTTTAAAAAATAATATTTTTCTACATTCAGTGGGGATCTGCGCAATACCCAGTTTTAATATGTACGTGTATTTCAATAACACCCTGTATTTAAACTAATCAGTTTTTGTGTCCTAGAAAGTCACTTTAGGCTTCACTATATGCAACAAAAAGTGTTCACTTAGTAGCGAGTATCTAAACAAATTTTCAAAATAAACACGAAATACTAGTATATTTAGTAGGTAAATAGCGGAGCAAAACTTTTGCGTGTTTACACTATCGATACTCGACTGTCCCGACACTCGACTGTCATATGAAAATATACAAATTTTTAACAAATTGATAAATTCAAAATTTTGCCGCCTGCCATAATAACATGATGTAATTAATCTACGACGTTTTGTTTCATCCATTTTACATTTATATAATAAAGAAAGCGAATGGACTTGGAGTATTTCCCAGACTTTATCAGCTGCCACATACATCGCAAAAACTCACCTGAGAGAGTCGGTATCATCGGCGGTAGACAGAGACAAGCCGCGAGACCAATCCAATAGGAATCACCATGAATGGGTAGGCATATTGTGAAATTCTACTGTTAATCTTGTCTTAGTTTACGTATTAAACTCATTTGACCATAAGATCTTTTTTATTATTGCTAATTCTTTTTGTTTTCTCATCAACAATTATCAGGCAAACTGCTACACCAATTGAAAAACATGGCTCATTAGAAGGTTAATAAGAAGACGCCACAGTAAACGCCAATAGCTGACAGTAGACCACAATCTACTAAAATCTCAAGTGGTGAGACAACCATCATCGTTAGTGGACCGTTTTATGTTCTCTGGCGCAAGATATCACTCCCATACGATGACACAACTAATACTAGCAAATACTTGATCTAATTTAAACAGACTTGTAGTGACAGCCTCTATGGTTTTTTATCTTTATCTTTATATTTGTCGGTTATAAGCAGGTAGGGTTATTTTTGGCCCAGAACACTGTGGCCTCTTGGGTCTACTTAATTCCCCTGCTTTCCTCGTATTCAGTTACTATCTTTGGAATAGTCCTGAGCCTTTGGCTGGTTTTACTAAGTTTCTTCCTCTTTCATGCACAGTCTATACGTGGTGGGATTATTGTGTAATCTCATCACATGAAGGTGTTTCAGTAAGCAATGTCCTGTTATTAATTCACAATGGTGTATATCTGAGGCCTTGCGAGTTGTAGTAACCTCAGTAGTTGTGCGTTGGTTTAGTCCCCTTAGCATGAGCTTACTGATTATGTTCCCTCTTATCTGCTGCCAGAGAATTTTGTGTTTTATGGTTATTCACCTGCTTACTGCCTATCGAGCAGAAGTTTTGCTTATTCCAAATATGGGTTCGGGTCCTGTAAATAGTAGTTCTGATCCCTCTTTGGCTTTATGGTTAAAACATTAACAATTTTGGCGCCGATTACTCGCGGGTTAAGTAAGATATATATGAGTATTTAGTTAAATCTGAGAGAGGGTGAAACGAACGACGATAGGAGTTAGCCGTTGCTAGATTACTATTTCTAATTATTAGTGAACTCTATAGCTTTATCGAGTGACCAGAAGACTAAACAAATCTGTCATAGGACCTATAATAGTTAATGGAGAAGTGAGAATGGAGAACTATCGATGGATATTGATAACAAACAAATGCAACGTAAAATACAAAACATTTACTAAATTATCTGTTCTCTATTTATAGTTTAAGTAAATAATTAAAGCTCACCTCATATAATTTGTGACATTTGCAAGGTTTGTCGCCTAAAGCAGACGATAAAATAAATAAGTTTTCACCCTCCGGTATACCCGCATCCGCTGCACATGTGCCGGCATAAACGCCACCGATTGCGTATTTCGTTCTTCCAGTGGGGGGCATATTGGGCATTCTTTTCCTCTGTGCTTCTTCTTCTCGCATTTCATTATCAACTTCTTCGCAAATGCATTTCAAAGGAGTTCGTAAGCCTTGTATTTGATAAACGGGTCCGTCTTTGGTTTGAGTGACGCCACCTTTATAAAAAAAATTAATAGTACTGGAAAAGACAGATGACAAAAAAGTATAATAATTGGAAACAGAGAATTGGACAAATTTAATTGAATTTTGGAGGCGTGGATGGCTCTTTGGTTAGAATCTAAACCACGGGATTTATCTGATAAAGATTCTAATCCATCCAGAGTCGGGATTTTTCCAAATAATAATTAATTAAAAATGTATTCCAATGCCTGTATATCTAGGAGCTAGATAAAACAATGAACATAATAAAGGGTACCAAACTAGTCAATCAGTTATTCAACGTCTTAAACAGAGCATTCTCGCAATTTTACCATACCAACTAACAAACTCTATACCTACGGGAGGGACTGAACTTACGAAGCTCCTTGAAAATATAGAGGTTGTAAAATACATTATTTAATAAAAACGAAATAACAAGAGAAAGTTATAACATAATTATAATGGAATATTTATAAGGTGAGATAATAGTAAAAGAGAAAGAGTTGAAGAAACCAGTAGAGGAAAGAACTATTAGTAGTTGATGCAGTGGAAAAAACAACAAACGGGCGAAATACAATTACTATAAAAGTACGTAAACAAGTGATAGATGCATTCAGGGTTTTAAATAGTTTTAAATAGATCAATCCTATTTCAACTTTTCAAAAAATTAAATAAAATTAGAAGGATAAGAAGTGATTCATTTCCAAAATACACTTGGAAGTGACCTAGAGTAACTTGATCTACATCGACAATAGAACTCAAATTTACCAGGTGACACTCGACACTTGTCTCTATGAGGATATGGTTGAATAAAAATGTCGAAAACTATAAATTTTAAACAAATTAATAAAATTACCTTAAACAATTACCAAAAAATGGTGATTTAGTAAGGTGGTATTCTCGAATATTTCATTAGAGAAACGGTGACAACTAATATTAGTGAATGTATTTTGCTTGGTAGTATGCACAAAAAAATGTTTTCTCTTAGATTTCATAAACAGTTTTCAATTAGGTTTTTCGTATTCGCCATATTCACACTTTTCCAGTTTAATATGTATTTTAACTGTAGAGACAATTCATTTAGGCAGTATTGGTTTGGTCAGCATTCCTTCCCACACTCAAGCCTAGCTTCTGGGTTTTCCCACTTTCGGTGCAATATGTCATCGTGAAGATACAGGTAATTCCACTAAGTCCAGTACCCTTTAAAAGCTGTATTTGTATTTGTCTATCTATTGCCAAGTAGGTGTGACTTTATTTTTGAGCCATTCTCGGACAACCTTCAAGACATTGTCTTTCCTCTGTCCCTTTCTCAGACTTTTAAGGGTGATTTCTTCTTTGTCGCCCTCTGGCTTGATAGTGGTTTCCTGAAGAGTAACTTTATCAACCAGTTCCTTTCGTTCTTCGAGCCCTTTACTGTACCGGCATTGTTGTTCCAAACAGGGTCGCCTAGAAAAAATGTGTGTGTTGCTATGGAGACTGTCTTTTCGATGCTCCATTTCCAGGTTATTGCCAGCTAGGTGTGGGTGTTCAGCTTCTCCGGGATGCATATCTGCTGTAATTATTTTTTGTTGGACTTTGTGACTAGCTTTGGGAGATTCAACTATGTGACTTCCTGTCCTGATTTCTTGATTTTCGAATTATAGAACGAGCCCTGCTTCTGCAGCTTCTTTAAAGGTGTCCAATTATTTCGAAATTGAAGCATTTCCTGATCTCATTTTGGCTATTTCGTTGCATATTTTGTAGGATATTTAGGAGATTTGTGAGAGGAGAGGTTGGGGAATAGTATTAGTATTGGTCTCCTCACTTTTCTGGACTCTAATTTCTCTCACTTTTACAAGAGAAGATCTGAATATGAGTTTTACCACTTCTTATTCCTGGGCTGCAATTAGTTTCTCCCTCAGCGTCTTGTAAAATAGTCGAAGGGCTTGCTTCATTTCCACATCTTGTATTTTATCAATGAATATCCATATGCTGATTTGTTCTTGGAAATCTTTGGGCGCCTGTGGATAGGCCGGACGATACAATCTTTTTATATCGGCCTCAAATTCATTATGTTTCTGACTACGAACCTTTAACTGGCTTTGGAATACCCGTTTCAAATGCTGCTAGCCATACCTTGTCTCCAAAGCTTGGACGTGAGACGAATAACTGGGTTCCCCTGAAGGGAGAAACTGCAAGACAGTTGCTGCCTGTTCTCGCAGCGACACTATCAATGAAGCCGCCATCTCTTTTTTAGCTCAGCCATTGGCTCTAGCTGCAGCTTCAAATTGGAGTCGATACGTTTCCCATATTGTCTGACCGTCAAAAGTGGGTGGCTTAATAATCTTACTAGTATAGCTTTGTGAAACTGGGTTTTGGATATGGCTTGGTTCAGTTATAGATGAGGACGAGGTAGTGTTTGCAGTTTATTTGTTGCTTACCGAAGACAGTCTACGAATTCTTCTTTCTTATTCCACTATTTCAGTCCTAATTTGCCTTTCCAACTCCACTCTAGCCTTTTCTTTTGTCACTCTAAACTAGCTTTTAAATTATCTTGTTGTTGCTCTAAATTAGCTTTTAAATTTTTTTGTTGTTGCTTTGGGGGAGCTATTCGACTTTTCAGTCAACCTACATCTTGTCTGAAGTTTTATTGAATTTGTAGCAATCCATTAATAATTTCCACCTTTGCTTTTCTATGCCTCTCCTTCCTCTCTTCTCGCCTTTCCCTATTCTCTTCTTCGACCTTCCTGCGCCTTTCCTTTTCCTCTCTTCTTCCTTCCTACACATTTCCTTTCATTTTCTTTCGTATTTTAATTTTAAAAAAATGCTATGAAGTACGAGTATTCTTTGCTTTTCCAAAACATTAAAAAAAAGAAAATTTGAAAGCTCAATCCTACACAATTTAAGGAAATCAGAATATAGTTATAGAATGACTATTTAAAAATATTGAAAACGGTACAAGCGTAGTAATCAGAATTTCAATACTATATAATACCTACTGTTAATTCTACAAAATGTGTCTGTTACCTATAGCGTATTTATGTTCCCGTGCTTTTAAAACAATTCTTGCTTTCACCCTCTGCTTATATTCTTCCAATTTCTTAAGATGCTCTCTATATTTTTCAAGGCACTCACAATGAAGTTCCTGTACACCTGTAAAAATGTATTTCATTAAACCTTTATAAATAAAATATTTTAAATAAATTCAAACTGAAATGTCAAAGATCGATATATGTATAACGTGAAATTACTTAAAGTAGTTAATTACTTCTGTTAAAAAATTACTTCATTTTTTAACCGATCATTTAATAGTAGTTTACGTTATAAGCCCGTTACTTGATCTTTATATGGCAGCATGTTATATGACCGTGTGAGCACTTAGAGATCAAGTAACGGGCTTGTATCGTACAAGGTATTACTTTTTACAATCTAAAAATAAAATAAAATTTTATCATTTGACACCAAGTTTCCGAATGTGACTTAAAATAATGACAGTTCAGTTACAACTGACAGTTCAATCATAACTGTTGTTAACATTTTTACTGGACTAGCCCGTTATGAGTCCCTTAACAAGCATAAACAAAGGTTGGTTACCACGCTATAAAATTGCAGTGTATCATAAACCACATGCCGCCTTAACCCGTATATGTTGTAAAAAATAATGTTTAGTCAAACCCCAGTATATATGTCAAACTCTCTGCTTTCTGTATAAAAATTAAACTCTTTCATAGTTTCTAATAAAATTTGTAATTAATGCTGTGTCCTAGTAAATGATATGCGCATAGCTCTAATACAATCTAAATAAACCTAACCCATTATATTATTAACAATATAAATTTCCCTTAACGTAACAATACATTTAAGCCCGTATTTATAAACAGATCTCAGCTGAGTCGGACTAGACGTCCTTATTGAACAAAAATCGAAGTTTGGTTATAACTTCTCTGATTTTCAGGTGGTTCCGGTGTTGCACAAGAATTTAAAGATGGGCAGTAGCAAATCCGCAACTGTTATATACATTTACAAATTTGTAACTAACCATCTCTAAGTTCACACGATATAACCGAACTTTGATTTTCGTTCAAGGACGACTCAGCTGAGTCGGACTTACCTGGGATCTGTTATAAAAACGCCATACTACCAGACTTTCACTACTCTATACACAGGTTCAGGTTCTACAGTATTTTTAAATTGTGTATTTTGTATTTAAACTATTTTGGAGAAATTTTCTTTGATCTATCTAAAATGTATAGTAGAAAATTAGGTTCAACTGACAGCTATGGGCTCTAGGCTTTGGAACCAATCTTTTTAAACATGTATATTCTGACAACATACAAATAAAACAACGAAAAGCAATGAATCAATAAATGTATAGTTTCTTTCGTAAATATGGCTACTTTCAAATCTAGCTATCGTTTTGATGTCACCACTAAAATAATCGGTTGTAAGCCGATTCCAAGGTTGTGTCAAATGAAGATTATATTAATGATTTAGATTTAAATAAAATGATGTTTCCCCTTACGGTGGCGGGGTTGATTGTAGTTTGGCCACTGCTTGTAGCTTAGATTGCCTGCTTGTAGGTAACTCTGTCTGCATGAGGCATGGATTCAATGGGGTAGTGGTTAAGTGGTATCTTCGCTTCTTCGATCAGGGCATAACACCGGAGGAAACGAAAAATAAATATGTGGAGCATAAATCCAAGGAATATAGAAGTAAAACCAATCCTAAGGATCTGAAAAGAAAATAGGACGGGAATAACACCACACCACCGCAAAGGAAAGAAATGAAAAGTGGCCGCTACCTATGCTTCTGGAAGTTATGCAACTGTCGTCAAGACGGAGCAAGTCACGATCCTACCTAAGGGGTTCCCTGAGACTATCCTCAGTGCGAACGAACAAACTTTGGTAAAGGAAGCCACAGTAGAAGAGATGATCGCTGGATAGGAGCATAAGCTTCTGGCCATGAATAGTTCTAATCGACTGTAACACCCCACAGTCAGCAGAATGGATTAGGGTAAAACTCCTACACCTGAGCAACTGGAATGGAGTGGAGTTGGATATATGTGCAGAAGACGACATCCCGAAAGCACATACAGCCATGCTCTTTCTCCCAAGAAGTCAAGATCAGCCTGTAGAGAAGCTTTGACAGTTAATAGAAGCGCAGAATGTGGGGCCATCGACCACACTGTGGAAAATCATCAGCAAAAAGACGAGGGCATAGGCCAGATCCTTAGGTTAAGAATACCTATCCTTCCGAAGGATCAAGGCTAATGGATGGACTATCCACTATCAATTTGGGAAAATCTCCGTACACGACCTTCAAAAGAAAGAGGAAATAAAGAAACCAGGAGAAGATACACAACCAATTCCCAGTACTTCCAAAGATGAGACTTAACCTCTCAAATCTCTGCGTAGACTCATCTGAGGATGTAGAAATAGATGAAGAAGCAGAAAAGAGGATATGGAACACACCATCAACGATGGGGACGGCACCTCCATGAAGGAAAGTAAAATAGTGGGCATCGACATCGCCCAAATGAATGTCCATCACGCCAGGACATTCACTAAAGACTAATTATGGATCGTACTGATCCAAGAACCGTGGGCCTATGAAAACCAGGTAAGAGGACTTGCATGTAAGGATGCAAGGGTAATTTATCACACTAGTGATGTACCCAGAACATGCATTATGGTAAGAAATAATATAAAATATTATTGTCTTTCAGAATTCATGACGCGTGATCTTGCCGCAATTCGAGCATACCTCGAATTTGGGATGAAGCAGTAAGACAGCTTTTAGATATTTCGCCGGAGATAGGCCTGTACCACCTCCGGAAGTATAGAAGCTAGTGGAGTACTGCCAGAGAATAAATCTGCCATTACTTCTTGGATACGACGCCAAAGCGCACAGCACCGTATGGGGAAGCAACGACACCAATCAAAGAGGTGAGCAACTTTTAAAATATATTTCTAATAAGAACCTTATTGTGTAAAATATTGGGAAATTTTCCAACATTTGTAAGGCAATAAGTGAGATAGGGTCCGGTTACAATTAGAAGAACACCGCTACGTCATAACCATTACTTCGAATTTAGAATATATATTATCTATAACCATCAATAAATTAAAAATAAGTAAGGTGTTATAAAACAATATATCCTATATTCCTATAATATCAACACTTTACTAAACCCCCAGTAGGTGGCAATAACCAATTAATTACTTTCCCAAATGATAACGTAGCTGTGTTCTTTTAATTGTTATCTGACCCTATTAGATATCACATTAAGTACTCCGAGCAATAAAGATCGTTACAAACTGGAGATTATCGAGTGAATTTTCTCTATCTGATCATTAATAATTGTGTTTACGTTAGAAAGCGACATTTTTGAGACGATTTCAGGAGGAATCCTAGAAAAACAGACTGGGATAAATACAACACCATTCTAAAACAAAATTTAGCACGTATCCAGACAAAAAATGGGACCAGGCACTTGCTTTGGAAAGCGATCTCGGAGAACTTAATGGGACAATACTTGAGGCATATGAATCATGTAATAGATCATCCTGTATACGATGTCTTATAGCGGTATCCAGGGAAATAGATTAGAGGGACGTGTGATGAGAATTGTCATTGTATTAAACTTGATCTAATAAAAATATTTATTCTGAGTATTATTTAGAAGATTTCTAAACAATTCCTTACAATATGGCGCAGTCAGAGCAAAACGAACCAATTATCCAGATCAACTATGAAAAAGGAGATGAAGGTACCCAAGACAACATTATTTTTGGAAAAAATGAGTTGGATCAGCTAATGACAAAATGGATGACGTTTGCCACTTCAACTAAAGCAGATCCCATAAAAATTTCTCAATACGACGGTCAAGGTGAGAATCCTTCTTCTTGGCTCAGTTCGTATGAATATATCTGTTCATATAATAAATGGATTACTGATAATGAGAAAATTTTTAATTTGAGAAATCAGTTAAAAGGCATTGCATTAAAATGGTACGAAGATAAAATCCAAGATAGTATACTAAATTAATATACATGGGAAAATTGGAAACTTAGTTTTATCAAGATATTTGATGAAAATGTTGTTTTAAAATGGGAGAAAGCTTTGAATTATAAATATTATAATAGTAATATCCTGGAATACTTTTACGAAAAACAGAAATTAATTAAATGGGCAGATAATAACATTTCTGAACTTTCATTAGTGGCAATGATAATTCTGGGTCTGCCAGTTAATGTTCAGAAACAGTTAAGAGGAAAAATCATCAACTCCAAAGAAGAACTTCTTCAGCTGCTAAAATCCTTAATGATTGGTGAATATCCTGATAAACAGTGGCCAAGAAGAGATTTTCAAATGCAAGGTCAGCCAATAAGTACCAATAAAAAAGACATTAAATGTAAAACTAAAAATGTGTTTAATTCTAGTACTGTTGAATTTGAAGATCAAATAAATAATATTGAGATGTATTCTAGTTATTCACTAACAAGTGGAGATAATTTTGAGTATTTATTTTTAAATGGCCAAAAAGTGAAAGTACTGTTTGATACTGGATCAGATATTAATCTGATAGATGAGGAATTAGTTAATAAAAACAAATTTCCTATTCATGAAGTAAATATTTGCATAAGGAACTTAGCTGGAATAACCAAATGTTTTTTTAGTGCTGAAGTAACTATTGAAATCAATAAACTGCCCACAACTTTTATGGCCGCAGTAGTGAAAGATTTGAATTTTGACATACTTCTAGGACGCCATTTACTAAATAAATTGAAAATATATAAACTGAATTTGAACTTAGAAAAAGAAATTGAATTTACAGAAGATAATATATCCAAAAGATTTCCGAATTTGCTAAAATATAATGATGCGAAACCATCAATCTTTGAGATAGATTTTAATTTAAAAGAAAATGCAAAAATTATTAAGCTGAAACCTTATCGATATTCAGAAAACAAAAGAACATGGATAAAAAATAAGGTTAATGAGTTGCTTAAAAACAAAATAATTACAAAGTCAATATCTCCTTTTGCTTCTCCATGTGTTTTGAACACAAAATCTAATGAGGATTTTCGCCTGTGTATTGATTATAGGAAAATTAATGAGGAAACTGAATTAGATCCATTCCCATTTCCAATCGGTGATGAAATCATTCAAAAATTCGGTGGATGTAAATTTTTCTCAAAATTTGATCTGAAGGATGGTTTTTGGAATATAAGTATATCTAAATTAACGCAGAAGTATACGGCGTTTGTAACAGAAGATGGGCATTATGAATTCACAAGGCTTCCTTTTGGATGGAAAAACTCAAGTGCACATTTTCAAAGAATAATGCAGGAAGCTTTAGGTGAACTACTCGATAAGAATGTAGTAGTCTTCATCGATGACATAATGTGTGGAGGTTTCACTTATGACGAGTGTGCTAAGCTTTCGACAGAAGTTATGGAAAAACTTAATAGATACAACTTTAAAATAAATCTAACGAAATGTAAATTTTGTGTTCCCAAAATTGTGTTTCTTGGTAGGGAAATTGATGGTGATATCAAGAAGATGAAAAATGAATCTATTGAAAAGGTAAAAAATATGAAAAAACCCTATGATTTAAAATCTTTGCAGTGTTTTATTGGATTAACAAACCATTTTAGGCATTTTATAAAAGACTATGCGAAAATTGTACGACCACTTGACAGATTAAAATGTAAAAATACGAAATTTATTTGGACTGATGAATGTGAAAAATCTTTTATAACATTGATAGAATTGATAACATCAGAACCAATTCTAAGAATACCAGATCCTAGGTTAAAATTTGAGCTTAGTACTGATAGTTCTTATTTTGGTTGTGGGGCTATTCTATACCAAAGAGATGAGGAACAGATAAAAAATAAACAACTTAGAGTAATTTCCTACTATTCCTACACCTTTAATAAACATGAACAAAATTATTCTGTTACAGAAAAAGAATGTCTTGCGGTTGTAAAAGCAGTAAAACATTTTAGAACTTTGTTGGAATCAAGAAAATTTGTAGTACATACTGATCATCGAGCATTAAAATATATTTTGTCAACAGGTGCTTTAAGAGATAGGTTAGCCCGATGGCAAATATTTTTAAGCAGTTTCGATATGATAGTGAACCACAAACCCTGCAAAGAACTAGAAGACAGTGATGCAATTTCCAGATTGTGCGTGGATTTTCCTGAAAAGGTGAAGGAAACATTTTGGTGTAATTTGAATATACACGATTTGGAAAAACAAGAGGATGGAAGGTTTTTTGTAAAGAATGCAGATATAAAGACAGACATTTTACAATCTTACCACGATGATCCTGATTCTGGAGGCCATGATGGATATTACAAAACATACTATAAGATAAGTAAGCGGTTTGTTTGGAAAGGATTAAGTAAGGATATTAAATACTACATAAAAACTTGTGAAATATGTCAAAAAGTAAAATTTAAATATTATCCCAAACCAAATTATACACATCTAACATCCTGTTCGCAGAATCCCTATGAAAAGGTTCATATTGACTTTGCGGAGATAGAAAAAAAATCAGATTTAAACAGAACTACAAAATCATTTATTATTCTGATAGATGAAGCCACTAGACATGTAAGTGCCAAGGCAATAAAAGAAAGTGGTGATGCTTTGAAAAGCTATTTTAGTAAACTTCCTTTCCTAAATGATATGAAAACAGTCGTCACAGACTGTGCACCTGCTCTAACATCTGGAACATTTAAAGAATGGGCTGTATTGAAGGGGATAGAACTAGTCCATACTTCTCCTTACCATCCGGCTGGAAACGGATTAGCGGAACGAACTGTTAGAGAAATAAAAACATACATGCATTGTTATAAGGATTTTAGGGGTGGTTGGAAAAAATGCCTTGAAGCCGCCGTGCGACACCACAATTATTCCCATAATGAATTCCTGGGATGTTCACCTAATTACAAATTGTTTGGAAAGAGTACAATCCTAAATGCTGATAAAAAATTTAATATAAATGGACCCCTAAAAGAATTTCCTAGATCTTTAGAAGAACAATTAAAATATAAAAAAAACATTCAGAAACAAGCAAATAAAAATAAGAAAATCCTTCCCCCGAACGTGAAAGTGAATGATTTTATTTTAGTAAGAAGTCAAAAAATAGGGAAAAATTTTGTCGTAAAGGGACCCTTTAAAGTCATAGGTACAAAGTACATGGAAGGAGTTTTAACTTATGTCCACTACGTAAATGACCAAAAGGAAGAAGTTGCCCATGCATCAAACCTAAGAGTATATCATCACAGGAGTGATGAATTTTTGAAGGAGGGGGCGTGTTGTAATAGATCATCCTGTATACGATGTCTTATAGCGGTATCCAGGGAAATAGATTAGAGGGACGTGTGATGAGAATTGTCATTGTATTAAACTTGATCTAATAAAAATATTTATTCTGAGTATTATTTAGAAGATTTCTAAACAATTCCTTACAAATCAAGTTGTCCCATTCAAAGAAATAGAACTAGTAGAGATGCTCCGTGGTGGAACCGTCATCTGTCAAACTTACGAAGCTCTATTGGGAGAGCTACACCGAGGCACTTACCACTTACAACAAAGAAATCAGGAAAGCTAAACGTAACAGCCTCAGAAAATTCTGCGAGGATATTACACCTGCGGCAGCGAGACTGTACAAGGCCCGGGCAAAAGGGAGAGTTTATACAGTTATGGCATTAAAAAACCAAATGGAAGCTTCAGGAGAGTGAGGAGGAAAGAGCTCGCTTCTTACTCGAAACTCACTTCACTGGAAGCACATATTCTGTAATAATGGACACAATTAAGGTAAGCAAACCCCAAAGAGAGGCCGCAGCAGCAACACTTTTAAACGGTTTAAGTCTCCAGGTGTGGATGGAATATTTTATGCCTTGCTTCAGAGGGCATAGAAAGACATACTACTACACATAATCTGGATATCTCGGAGCAGTCTGGAACTGGAGAAAGTCCAGAGTCACAGAGTCACCTTCACTCCAAAAGTAGGGAAAAAGGGTCCAAGTTTAACGCGTTGTCTATGACAAGCCACGCGACGTTTTTTTCACAAAAAATACAGCTCCGAACGATAATATTTTATTGAGGCATCTGTCGCCATACCAACTTGGCCCACGACAGCTTCTTCATTTCACTTATTGACGCTTTTTTTCCTCGTTGTGCTATGAGTGTTCCGCACCCTGTTTAAAACTGCTCTGGGCCCCGAGGATTCGGCGCCTATGGATATAGTTAATCATAATTGAGTTTAGTTTCCCATGAAGAACTTTACTTTGTAGAAATGGATGATCTTACATTTTTTAGACGACTTTAGTTGATAAAAGAAACCGTTTTAAGAAATCTTGAACTAATAATGACTTCTTTTTTTTATTTATATAGACAATCTTTGTTTATAGTATTGTTTTCTAATGAAGTGATATAAAATTCTGCAATTATTGTATTCCAAGTTTCTTTTTGGTTATTAAATTTATTTATTTATTGTACTAGGCACTAAAGTAATAAAATTATATTATTTAAAAGCAATAAATTTATTTTATGCTTATGTTTTATTTTTGTGGTAATTTTAAGATTTATGTCCAGTACGGATTTATTTTATAAACTTTTAGATTTAGGGTAAAAGTAGATATAAATAAATTAATATTTTTTTTATTTTTACAATATCTAACACTTTCTACCCAAAAAATACTCGAAGTAGATATAAATAAACTAATGTTTTTTTTTTATTTTTACAATATCTAACACTTTTTACCCAAAAAATACTCAATTTTGAAAGAAACTATTTGTTGTTTTTTTTTGTTTTAATTTTCTTAAAACTTGTGTTTTAATATATTCAATAACTACCAATTTTTTTATTTAGTTTTAATTTACAATTTCTGTTTAAATAGTTAAATTGTTTTTAAGTAGGTAGTTCTCCAAAAGTTGATTTTGTATAGTTCTGAAACAAAATTCACTGAATCTAACTATATAAACAAAAATTATATTATACTAATTGTTTATATCTGCTTTCGACTTAAATCTGAAAAAAAATTTGTATATACTTGAGCATTCTATCCAGATTAAAAAAAAGTTAGTCTGGAGCTGGTACAACCGCCATATTATTGCTTTACTTACGTCCACTTAATCCCGCCCACCAATATAATTTTTAGAAGACATGTTTAAGTGAACATAGCATCTCCTTTAGTTTCCATAAGTTGGACATTATTTGTCCTTGTTCACCGCTACCTTTTCAGATCTATTGTAGGACTCCGTTTTTGAAGTATGTCGTCTAGCTTGGTCTTTTTTATTAGACTGTAGCTTTGACAGTGGCTCCCGCATATAGTTGCATGCGTTTGGCTTTTCTTCGCCTAATGTTAGAAACATCATTCTGGCCAGGCCTTCACACTGGCACAGGACGTAGATTTTTCTTCACAGAACCTCCAGAAATTTGCTTTTTTTGCTGGATTATGCGACAAAGACCTACTGCAGTCCTAACGATTTGATCTATTAGGTCTTTCGTGAACTTGGGACTTGGGCGATGAACTGTTTGGCCTGTCTCAGTCTTGGATAGTTGTTCCACCATTCCTGAGACTCTTTTTGCGTCCACTGTTTGATGCATGCCTTGAACAATGCAACTCCACAGAAGGGTTTGTGGCCTGCCAAGGCCTTATCTTAGCCTTATCGGGCTAATTCGTCGGCCTTTTCGTTGTCCTGACATCTCTCGTGGCCTAGCTCCCAGGCTAGGGTCACCTTCTTTTGACTACTTAGCTCTGCCAGGTCTTCTAGGCAGTCTTTCACCAGGTGATTTCTGGTAAGAGAATTGCCTTTAGAGTAGATGGCCTATATTAATTAGTTTTAATGTGCCTTTTTTAATTGATACTGCTACCATATTTAAAATTAAAAAAAAATTCAAAAAATTACATAATTTTACATCATACCTTGGACTATCGGAATACTAACTGCGTATTCTCCCATACCGCCACCAGAATCTTTACAAATAATTTGTTTGGTACCGCCAAGAATCATATCCGGATTGGCTAGTCTTTGCTGTTCTTCGCAATCCGGACAATGACACTGCAATGATAAAAACTTCTGTAATTCTTCTTTGCAAGTGCAATGAGTTAATTCCCAAGGCATGACTGGAGAAGGACGAAGTTCTGGAATCGGAACCTCCTTTAAAGTTTTGGGGCGCATTCTTTCTAATTCTTCGCAAATGCAAATTGCTTGACTGCACGGTTTAAACTCATCGTCCATTCCACCTTTGCGTCTAGAATCGAATATATTATTTAAATTAATTTTCTTCGTATATATGTTAAATAAAATTTTAATTAACTTATAGTAACGATTCTATTTACCCATCTAGAGGTACAACAGACTGCACGATAAAGAAAGCACCAGCTGGCGTATAACAAATTCCAGATATGCTAAATTTAACCTTCTCAGTTTCCATCTTCTGAGCTTTATCTAATATTTGCCACCTGGACTGATATCTCTGCAAGCACAAACATTCCTTCTCTTTATAAAATCCACCGATTATAGGTACCACAGTTCCATCCTCCATACATCTACAACCATTCATTACTATTCTTTGCTTGTACCTCTTTTTCATAATGCATCTCTTGCAGAACGATTTCATATGTGTTAGTGCTAGCGCCTTGCAATCACATTCTTCTTCTGGACATTCTCCACAAGGAATATTCTGAGGCAAGCCTGGAAGTAAATACAAAACGTCAATGTAAACGAGTTTTGAATTCAAAAATTAAAGTATTTTTTATTTTTATTTTGATATGACGATGATTTATTTTGCTTTTAAATTTTCGCCACCCACGTCAGAGTAAGGGAGGCAAGATAGGCTGAATATTTGTAAAAACTTACAGAATGTGTGATTTTAGAGATGAACTTTCTGGAATGTTGAAATTAAAATCATTACTTCTGTTAACTGGTTTATATAAACATAACAATTTTACATATTTTGTTTTGAAATTTTCCAACGAACATGTAGGTTTGAACAGTGGCAAGTGCTGACAAAAAATGGAGGTATATCATCCACATTTTGGCCATTATGCAGCTCTACAGCACTTATAAATCAGCCGCTACTGGGTTTGAAACATCTTTTTGTTGTTTTAAAAGAAGCGAAGTGCACGAAAAACAAAAGGTGTTGCTCTGTTAGAGGTTAAAAACGGTCTCACCGAGAGTGAATTGAGTGTCGTGTGGAAAAGTAAGCATTTTTGTGTCACTGTTGTGATTGGTCCAGAGAACGTATCATATGTTTGGACACTGTCTACTGATTGGTTATTGAGAACGTGGCAAAAGAGTTTACCATATTAGTGTGGACAGAGATAGAGTGAATGGTGTAACTGTTAAATAAATATATATGTTTTTAACGATTTATTTTAAATATACCGATACTAGAGTGAATTAAATAGATTTATGAGTCTGAGAGAGTTGGCACCTGTATTTAAATTACTTAAAATTTTCGATTAGAGAAAACTATATTCTGCGCACGTAAATAATAGTAAATGTGCTGCAGGTGTGCAAAGAATGTTTTTCTTGAAACTTTAAATTCGGATGCATTCTTGGTCTACTAAATTGAATAATAAAATGTATTGTTGTTCTTATGTTTATTATACTTTATTTATACGGGGTAGATCATAAAAAGAGCAACTAAAGTATCTGTTAAAAATACTTATCATTTTTGAACAATTGTAGTTTGCGAAGCAAGAGTGAATATGATGGCCATGTCGTATGAGTACGAAACTGAAGCACGACGCTTTTATTGGGGTTTAATAATAAAAACGGGACTAGCTACGTCCCAATGAGGTACTTAATGATAATATAGATACTATCAATAGTGAAAACGCTTAAGAGTATAAAAGTTTTGCGTTTAGGGTATCATGCACCTCTGTAAAAATACTGACGGAAACAGTTTTCCTAAAACAAATACCATTTTTGGTTTTTTAAAAATTTTTACAAAACTTTACAAAAAGTAAAACTATATTTTTATATTTTTACAGTATAAAGGTTGAAATGTAAAATCTGCAAAATGCTGGCAACGATCTAGTTTTGTTGCCGTTATATCTTGGTGGGGCCTTATCTTGGACATGCCGCGTCTACATAATTATTCTACTTGTATTTGCTATCATTGTATTATCGTAACTCTTCCACCCTTAGAGGAGAATCAGAGGGCTAGTCTCCGAATTTTCTTTCTGGGAGCTCTTCTTCGATGAATTCTTTCTATATTTTCTATATGAATAAATGCAAAATAACAAACAAAATGTGATAAAAATATAAATCAATATAGTCCAAACACTGATATTATTAAAATGGATTGGATTGTCAAAAATGTGTTTTACTTTTTGTTTTTAAAAATTTAGAGTCTTTTAGAATGGTTAATTGTTCTAACTCAATACTGTTCTATTTAATAGGTTTAAGGAAATAGGATTTTTATCATTAGAGTTTTTAATATTAACTTTAATAAGTTTTATTTTTTTTTGTGTGTGTCATCGGCTTCAACTGCTATGGTTATTTCGCCTCGTGTTCTGTGTAGGCTTTGTTACTATTTTCTAGCGCCACTTTAGGAACAGCACTGTTATTTAGAACCCAACAGTGAATGGTCGTGTGGAGAATCCTACCAAGGCATCATACTTAATTTTAAATAAATAAATTAAATAAAAAAATCCCGGCCAACGGTGGGATTCGAACCTGGGACCCTAGCTTGGGTCCGCAGGCAGAGACTCTACCATTGAACCACCTACAAATTTACTTTTTGGCAGTTCATTGCTACGAAGAACTATTTTACCTTTTCTAACACTACACTTATTGATTAATTCTAAGAAGAATATTTCTTCTAATATGACATTGTCTTGTCCGCAGGTTCTTTCGGCCACTGTGTTCTGAGGTGAGATGATCATCAATTTGTTTTGAAGAATTTTCAAATTTTTATGTCTACAATGTTGAGAGGGATGGTTTAGCAGTTGGTGAGGTTCTTGAAAAACCTCAACAATGAAACTTCGCAGGTAGCGTTTTCTTCTACTAGAGCTGGTACTGATTCGTGGAAGATAAACTCTCGGTCACCAATTTCTTGACATTCTAAATCAAATGATATGAAATTTTGCTTGTTTAGGATTAAGAATTTCGAATTTAGAATTATCATTTGAAAAATGTTGCTTTTAGGAGTAGGTAAAGGAAAAAGTTGATATAAATCGTAATTTTCTCTCTTTACAATTGGGATTTTTATGACAAAAATAATTTTATTGTTTTTACTATAACTTTTAATGTGCATTATTTTTTTGAATTCAAGCATATTGTTTAAAATTGGTTCAAATGTAATTTGTTGTTTAGTAAGTTGCTATCGATTAATTTATTATGATTGATTAAATATTTAGGATCTATTATCGAATTATGGAAAACATTTATTTTGGAAAATGTTATAGCAGTTTCAATTTTTTTCCAGTAAATCGTAAATATTTTTATATAAAATTGATATTTGATTTGTGACTCTCAAAAGTTTGTTTATTTTGGATTTGAGCGTTTTCTAAAATGTGTTCTATTTTGATTATTTGAGATTTTAATTTTAGTTGATTGTGAGCTAAGACATGACTACTTTTAATAAATATATCTAAAGAATTTTCAACTAAGGTAATTTATTCATTAATTAAAGATATAATCTTATTTTGATTTTTCGACAGATTTTCTATGGCTTTGTTATATTTTTCGGCGTCGTTTTGATCTAAATTAATACATTTGATTTGTTTTGGAACTTTTTCTGAGGAATGTTTTAAATAAACTTAAGTGAAACATTTGTATAGCTAATCAGTATGAAAATACATGTCATTAATTTTATTATGAATAGTATAATCTTTTAAAAATTCAAGAATTATTTTTTTATTTTATGGTTTTCGTAATTCTCTTGTTTGATAGTGAATTTATGATAAATTTGGCCAAAAACTAGGATTTGATTAATTTTGTTATTATTTCATAGACTATTTTTATTCCGCCATTGGCAGTTTCGATTGATAACTGTCATTACCTGATGGTTTATCAGGAGATTTAACTTGTATGTCTACTAATATATTTATTTTAGGTTGATTAGGCTATTGTTAACGTCTTCAGGGTTATTAATAAGTGATTCGTTTTCTAGAGTATTTATAGAAATTATTGATAATTAATATTAATGTTTGTTTTTGTTTTTTTATTCCCACTGGTCTTATTGACTTTTCAGAAATTACAATTTTATAATTTTTTATTTTTTAATTAGATTTAAATTTCATTAAATCTTCAGATTCGAGAATTATTAGCATTTGAACTGATGGGGTAGTAATTATTTTTTTATGAAAATCAACTGATGCATTTAATTGTTCTAGCAGATCAATTCCGATAAGACTTTCGAAATTTTTATTAAAATCAGAAACATGACATTTTTGTTCTTCTTCTACATTAAAAATGCTAAAAATGGGAATTTGAATTACTTCGTTATGATGACTTATATTATGCACTGTTTGTATTTTAAAATCTTTGTTAAAAATATTTTTCCATCATGGCCGAGATCTCTCATCGCTATTTCGTGGTCTAGAACTCTCAACACAGTACCTTGGTCGAGAACTCTCATTGCTATTGCATGGCCTAGACTGCATGGCCCAAAAGTCTCAATACACTTCCATGGTCGAGATCTCTCATTGCTATTTCGTGGTCTAGAACTCTCAACACAGTAACTTGACTCAAAACTCTCATTGCTATTGCATATGCTAGACTGCATGGCCCAGAATTCTCATTGCACCCCCTTACTGGCTAAGTTCTCTCTTAGTTCTACTACTTATGGGCTAATCCAAAGTTTATTAAACTTCTAATGCTACCAGTGTCTATTAAGAAATTTGCGTTTATTTCTGGTATAAAAATATAGGGTAAATTTGGTCTCACCATGTTCGGTTTAATTGCATCTTTAACTTATGTTAGAGCTCCCACACGAAAATATAAAACTTTATTATCAAAAGTATCATAAGACAGCCCTTGAGAGGGTTCATGGAAGTGTGTCAGCTATATTACATTTGTGTTAATTTCTCAAAGATTGTTATTAGTTGTGTTGTGAAATCATTATTTTCTTGGAACTGCCATTCACCGTTATTATCTTGGTTATTAAATGAATTTTCGAATTGGTTTTCTATTTGCTCAGAATTTTGCAAGTAAAGGTTATGACTATTTGATCTATTATTAAAATTGGTATTTTTTGAAATTTGACTATTTCGGTTGAAATTAGCCGAATATGGATTTTTTTTATATAAATTTTGATTTTTGAAATTATTTGATTGGTTAAACTGGGGTCTCTGAAAGAATTGATTTTGATTTTGAAAATTTCGATTTTGGAAATTTTGTTTACCTTGTCTTGGAAAATTATTACAGTTTGAATAAAATCTGTTAAAATTATTAGAATAAAATGGTTTTTGTAATTGTTGATTTTGCTGATATTTTGAATAGTTAATTTGACTTTTTACATGTCTATAACTTTGGGAATCTGAAAAATTACCTTTTTTATTCGACTACAAAGGCCATTACTTGTTCTAAACTATCTGTGTTTCGTAAACGAACATTATTTTTATTTACCTGTGAGGCCGTGAATAAATGTTTTAAGAGCCAAATCGTTATAATTTTGAAGTCGGATGCGTTTTTCTTCAGGCAAAAAATTTGACGCGTTTATTTTTGATACAATTAAAATT